CGGCATCGTCAGTGAGTTTCACCATTCGTAGCACTATATTACAACTCGTCAAAGAGACAAGTGAAGCCGACCAAACGTGTGCTAAACAGTTATGATATCTCCCGTTCTGCCCTGACCTATCACATTATCTATAACCTCCAATCACCCCTTCACTGTCACAATATTTTATTTACTTACTAAAATGTCTGATCGTTTATGTTCCTGGTGGAGACTATTCTTTTTGGAGGAAGGTGTTTAACATCTTTCAGCAGCTTCTTATTTCTTGACGCTCATCTCATTAATCCTATGATGTACTTTCTCTTAGGAATTTTTTCGGTAAGCTTGGTCTTTTCAATGGCATTTTTTTGTTAGGTGTCCTTTTCTCTTCTGTTTTTAAGACAAATCAATTTTATTAAGATCATTATCTGGATTCTTAGTTAAACTAGACTGCCTTTGTAAGTAAAATTGTGAATTGATACTGGCATACTTTATATTTCGTTTGAGATGGTGGGTAAAATGGATTAACGGACTGCCTCATTAAAATCGCAAAGTGAGAAATAAGAAGCAAGTAGGATCTAAGCTGGCCACCCTTCTTGGTTTAGGGAATAATTGTTTCTGGCTCCGACATGACGGACCAAAGCTCAGCACTGAGTCTTCCGGCTCGTAGGACGGTAAGACGAGGTATTCTTTGCACAATTCTACAAACAAAAGTTCAATGCAACCCTTCTTCGATGTGTGGTGCGACCAATCTACGATTTTCTTCTAACCACTTTCTCAACCCAAATGAAAGGTGTGCCAGTATCTATCTCCTAAGGGACTCTTAGACACCTAGCTTCTTTTCATATTCATTTGAGTATGACTTATCGTTGTATGCGTGTGCAACCCTGTCCACATTTAGCTCATTTGCAAGCCTATCGGTTGCATTATATTTGAAATTTCACCTTGCCCTTTCCAATCGACCTGTAACCAAGGCCTTAATTAAAAATTTTTTCGCGGTCATCCTATTAATTTCATTGCTTATGGCATCGTCTTAATTGTAACAAGCCTTTTATTGAGTCATAGACCTTGTGTCTGGTTTTAATTTCCGTTAGGAACTATAGTCTCATTAAGGCTGAGATGAGCTAAAATGCTATCAATTTTTAGATTAAAAAAATTTCGCTGATGAGATCTAAAATGTGGCAGCCAGCGATTTATCTATGATAGTATTTCAAACCTAGTTACTCTTTAAAAGGCTTGTAAACTCTCATCGGTCAAATTTCGAGTTTTTTTCAATTTGGAAACTACCGATGGGCCACTTCTTTTTTTGGCTTAGAGCATTCCTACTTCTTGATGCTCTCTATAGTTTTTAACTTAAACCTAGCTTTACATAAACTCTTTTAAACACTTAAGAAGCTGTCTGTTTTGAAGATCCATGATCTACTCATGATTGTATCTGAATACGCTAAGCAGAAATGATTTCCTATCCTTTAAAAATATTCTACTTCTATTATTTGTCCTGCACATCCTAACCAGCTTTTAAGGCGATAAGTGGCTATAAACAGGCATAAATTCACCAGAATCCGTCTAAATATGACTGAAAAGAGACCATATTTTATCTGTATTCGAGACATTACTTTTGCTACTTACCAGTTCAGCATTTCGTGATTGCATAATCCATATTTGAATTCGGTCCATTGACCTGTCTATAAATATTATAAACCCCTTTGTATTCCATTTTATATTATCTAGGCATAAACATGGTTTTGGGCCATAATTAATATAGTTTAAATGCTATTTTATCACTGAATTTAAATAACATCATTAATTATTTACTGGTCAAACATATTACTTATCAGCCATGCCTCTTTTGTCCACCCATGAGCAAATTTAGCTCCATCTTTACCCATTTATCCACTTTGTCTGCATTTATCTTCTATTAATTTTAAAGTAAATAAATAAATTTATCTAAAATTATTCGTCTTTCTCTATTTTCAGTTATTCCCCAGCACGGAAGCTTACTCACCACATTTCTCTATGCGCCACTTGCGGGCCTTCTTTTCTCCTGCGGACTAATATCACCACCTTCCTCGCTTCCAAGTGATCAACTAGCTTCTTCACCTCATCCAAATTGTGTGCCTAACCCTCTCATCAACCTTCCTTTATCTGAAATCGAAGAGCCAGTTACATCCCACTCCAAAAAGCTCAATTCCCAACATTTCCTTTCGCATAAGACTGTAGAACACGTGCAGGACCCTGTTGAAGCATCGAGCCTCGAGGTGTTGGCGCATGGAGTTTCTTACAAGCGACGCTCTCAATTAACTGATCTATTGACTTCACAAACCAATATGCCTCTCGAGCCTCAGGGAGACTTATTGAGACCCATGATAGATGATATACCCTCGATCACTACATCCAATAGCTCCTATTCGACCCCAGTTTCAACTCCTTCCACCTCCAGAATAGCAATTACCTTGCCACCATCAGATCTTCCTGTTTCTATTCCTCCACCTCCACCTCATCCCCCGCCTCATCCTCCACCTTTTACCAACTATTTATCTGCTACGTTGGCCGGCCAACGATTACGCTACCTTATGACGCTCTGGATGCAACGCGCTTTACACCTCATTTTAGCCTGGCTTTCCCAACCCCATTCTAAGGTCATTCGACCCAACACCGAAGAAAATCCACAGAATCCGATTCTAGGTGGTTTGGCAGCCAAAGCAGCCCATGCTCCTACCTCCTCTTCGGATGTGTTGTTACGTGCATTTCGCGAAGAGCCACTTCTCCGTGCACTTTTGTTGCGTCTTATTTTCGCTCAGTTCTCCCTGCAGTGAGTGTAACTAATTATCTCGTGTAACCTTGACTAAATTTTCCTTCTGGGGACGATAATATTCCTTCCTCCAATTTGCTCCTACATCTAATTTACTATTTAGCTTGTATATTTCAGCATGCTATTTATTGTGTCTGGCATAATTTGTAAGATAAACAACTTATACACATAGCTATAGTATTGAAATAATTTGTTTACATTTAAAATCTTTTAGCTTAAATTGTGAGTTAAATATTGGGACTTGTTACCACAACTAAATGTGGTCATTTCTTTAAGGTGCTGATGAGCCAATTATTATTTGTCCGCATACCTGAGTATTGATCTTCACCTCTGTAAGTCTTAGATATAATCATTCTGGCTTTTAGTTTACAATTAACTATCTCGTTTTAAGAAGTTGTTTGACCTTGTTTTCGCAACTTGGTCATAATGGTAGGAAGACTTATAGAAACGCACCTT